CAGCCGATCTCCGGGTCTGGCGGTAGCACTTTTAGCTGTAGCTTAGCATAGATCATTGAATCTGATTAGACCTTTAGCATCTCGCTCAAAAATTACCAAAGAGTTTCTATATTTTTCCTATTTAAAACTTGACTCTTCTGTACTTGCATCGTGTACTAAGACCGACGCAAAATGAAAAGTTGCGATTTTCTATGCCGATATGGCTAGGAACTGTACTCTCATTCCGGCGTAATGAGCCTATGTTCAAAAATAGTGGAATGTTCCTTTAAATCATTCCTTTAAGCCATCAGCCATGATAATGGAAAGCGGTTCATTCACCTTGTGACTTTTAAAATAAAATATTCTTCAGCTGCAATGTTTAACAACCAAAACAATGCAGAGAACAAGTCAATAAAGACTGTAAATATTCTGACTATAATAGAAAACCATCATTCTGGTGTGCAAGGACAGGAGGTTGTGTGTGTGTGTGTGTGTGTGTGTCCTGTCTGACATTTAAACGAGTGCATGAAGCTTGGCAAAGTACTACGGACCATAAACTGGACTTCTATTTAATTCTCTCCCACTCACACAGCTGTGAGCTGGACAACGGAAACTTGGACCTGACAGAGAAAGGCGCTCGATCTGTTGAGCCCTCTCTGTGTGTGCCAGACGGCATGCTGGGTAGAAATTCTGTGTCCTTCATTACTCACAGCCCTGAGAAACTGACCCCTCTATATCAGTGACTGGACAGAGCCATGACGGCTCATCTCTCCAGACCAACTCTAAACTCTGCTTCCACATGGGGCTTCATTACAGGTCATCTTCATCAGCCCGAGACTAATTCACTGATATGACTGGAGTTTAGAAGTACCACAGCATTACCAATGCTGAAGAACAAGGAAAAGAGTTTGTTTCTTCATGAAAAAAATATTTGGAGAAATGTAGCATTGCATCAGTGTCTCAGCAATGGATGCTCTGCAGTGAATGGGTGCCGTCAGAATGAGAGTCCAAACAGCTGATAAAAACATCACAATAATCCACAAGTAATCCACACCACTCCAGTCCATCAGCTAACATCTTGTGAAACTGATGCATGCATTTTAACTCTAAGTTAAAGTTAAGTCCTCTATCCATAATATTGCTTTTTCCAGTGAAAAAGTGGTCTGGTTTGAATCAGGAGAGAAATCTGCACAGATCAAGCACAGTTTACAAGCCAAAACAGCTCTAAACAAATATGAGTTAAAAAAATATAATTGAATTAAAAAAAAAATAAAATTGATGGACTGGAGTGGTGTGGATTATTGTGATGTTTTTATCAGCTGTTTGGACTCTCATTCTGACGGCACCCATTCACTGCAGAGCATCCATTGCTGAGACACTGATGCAATGACACATTTCTCCAAATCTGATGAAGAAACAAACTCATCTTGGATGGCTTGAGGGTGAGCACATTTTTTACACATTTTCATTTTTGGGTGTTCTATTCTTCTAAACATGTTTTTTAAAAACCTGACTAAGATCTCTTGTCAGGTTCTGTTTTGAAAGGTCTTTACTGCTAAAAAATCAATGGGATTTTCCTTCTGGAGCATGGCAGTTGCACTCTATAGCGCTTTTATATAATTGAGGCAGTCAGCTGGCCTACTATGGACACAATCACTCGGGACCCTATTTTTTTTAAATTGATTGAAGCACAGTTGATACAGCCCAGAGCGACGGGACACATCAGTGAGAGTGGAAATGATCAGAGACTGATAAATTAAGCTAAACAGACCCCCACTGAGGTTTATACTGACGACCATCATAGATCTCTAAGTTGTCCAGTTGATCGGCGACGCTCCATTTAACAGACTCTAAATGACTTTCTTTCAGTCTGTCTGGAGCGGCCGCACTGGTGCAATATTACTCACATGTGTTTCTATGTCGTCCAATCAGATTCCTGTAACATGGGTTTAATGGCTTTCTAGGTAATGTAATTTGATCCAGCTTTAAGCTGCATTATTTTATAGTCAGCAGCTATTTCTGGCTTACGGCTAAATCCCTGCACGTCTGATGAGTTTTTCTGGCCGCAGGAATCTTTGAAACATCTGTAACACATTTACTGTACGATGTTTCACGCGGCAGATTTACACAACAGGTCAGTCGCAGCTTTATAAAGCTTTACGCACCAGCGGGTCTGTGTTTTCTAGAAGGAAACACATCAGCTGAACATCTCAGCATCTGTCTGACCACATCCAGCGCATCACAGACCACAAGACACACGCCAAACCGCTCTATTCAAAGAATGAATGCTTCTGTCATAGTCAACTAAGTATTATATACAACACATAATCCCAAACATTACATGTGGCTACAACCCTATTTGACATGTTGAACTGTTTTAAACAATATTATTAACAAATTCATGCATAGTTGTTTATTATGCATGCAGTTTTTATGACTTTATATATATCTAGAAACATTTTTTCTAAAAACATTTGTTTGCACTTAAAAATTGAAGAGTACTGCAAAAAATTAAAGCACCTGAAAAAAATAAAAACAAATTTACAGATTCATATAGACAGAATGATAGACAGACAGAAATATAGATATGATAATTATTAACATGGAAAAATTCAAATTACATGTGTGACATATTACATTCATATGAGCTTCAGATAGATGGATGGATAAGCAGACAGAAAGACAGACAGACAGACAGATTCAAATCAAAGTTATTAAAAATTCTAAATAAACGCTATTAATATTCAAAATACATGTGTGGAATATATTAATTCACTTATGATAGATAGATAGATAGATAGATAGATAGATAGATAGATGAAAAGTTATTAAAAATTCGAAATAAAAGCTATTAATATTCAAAAGTGAATAATATTCAAAATACATGTGTGGAATATATTCATTCAGATAGACAGACAGACAGACAGACAGATAAAAAGTTATCAACTATTCAATATACATGTGTGTCATATATTATTTTAGGCATATATGCGTTGATATCCCTTATACTGCTTCTACATATGTTGAAAATAGCTCGTATGAATATTATGGATTAATTTAGCCTATTGTTTACAGTGTATCGTTGGTCCTGTCAGAACCCAGCTTAAAGGACACTTCTCTCTAACTTACTGCTGGACCGACAAACATCTAAGCTAAGCTAACAAGGTTTGACTAGTAAACTTTGCTAACGTTCTGAAGGTTTTCCCTCACGATCAGCCGAGGCTCGGTGGAGGTTTTACCCGTGTTGTGGTGGTTCTCCACAGGCAGCAGAGCGCCGAGCAGCACCGGCTGGGTTTTCTCCAGAGCCCAGCAGAACTCCTGGAGCTGGTCCCCGTCCTTCTTCTCCAGCAGCGTCCTGAGGAGCAGACGGAGCTTCGCGGCGCTGCCGGAGCAGTCCGCGTCCAGCTCTGCTCTCTCAGCCGGGCTCAGGCTGCCTGACTGGGCCAGCAGCTCCACAACCACATCCACATCTGTGACGGACTCCGACAACTTTTGCTGGCACTGCTCTAACAACTCTTTGTGCTTGGGATCCATCACAGAGCGACACAAAGCGCTGAAAACAACGAAGCTCCGGTTAAAGAGTGTTCTGTGTGAAATTGAAAGAAACGAGAAGCCATGTTTGCGACTTTGGGAGACTCCAACGGTTTTTTTCTTCTTCTTCTTCTTCTTCGGCTCCAGAGAGTCTCACATCTTTGCCAGCTCTCGGTTTCAGGTCGTTTTACGCTGGTCCGTCGCCGCTCGCAACTTTGCCTCGCTTTCGGTCATTTTAGATTTGTTATAAAGTTTGACAGTTTATCACAAATTATCTCCGTAAATCCAGCGATCTGAGGCGCGGCGGAGCTCCGCCATGACTTCTCAACTCCGCAGCTGCTATCATCTGCCAATCAAAGCCCAGCGGCGGGAGGGGAACGGAGGATGGGGTGGGGCTTCCGCCTGCCAATCAAACAGGTTTAACGAGAGGGGAACGAGATAGGGGCGGGGCTCTTACGTGCCACTCAAACCAGTTAAATGGGAGGGGAACCCGAGAGGGGCGGGACTTCTGATCAAACACACCTAGGCGTTCACTGGCGAGATTAGATGAGTACAAAGTCGCAAAACTTTTTTTTTTTTTTTTTTTTTTTTTTTTATT